ACAAACAGAATAAAGAGAACTTGGGCCTGAGAGTAAGCCAGATGTCAGCTTGAATGCAGGCCCACCACTCATGAGCTTGTGAGACTGGGTATTTCGTGTCTCTGACCCTCAGTTTGCTTCTATAGAAAGTGTCAAAATGTAAAGGGAATTGAATGAACTACTGATGCTGCTTGTGTAGCTGCAGCCGCGTGTGGCCCGAGAGGCGCGCAGGAGTGCGTACATCTCACCAAGGACGAACTTGTCCTTCAAGTCCTCCAGGAACCACTAAGAGATTTGTGTAGGGGCGTTATATTTACTTGGTATATTATAGAAAGAACAGCCTGGTGGTAATGTCGTTGGTGGATTAGAGGAGCAAACAGGAGATGAGAAAATTGGAGAGGGAGCTTCTGAAATAATCCATCAGAGAAATAATAAGGGTGGGAACTGAGGCAGTGGAGATGGGATGGAAAGAGAAGAGGTGGGAAGACATTGGAGACAGAAGAAAGTAGGGCTTAGGAACTAGGTGTGTGGCATAACCGAAGTTTCACTGATAATATTTTTAAAAAGATGGGAAGGCGGGTTTGAAAAGAGTTTAGTTTTTATGTGCGTAGTGTGAGTATTTGCAATATCTGAAAGAAATTAAAGTGGCCATTCCTCAGGCAGTTGGATGTGGGGGTGGGGCGAGGCTGCTCATTTGGTGGCTACCAGCATATCATTGGTAGTGAGAGTAAACCCAACCAGGGAAATACAGGCCGTAGCAGAGAAAATAAAACCGTGGGAACATCAATATTTAGAAACTGTTCGAGAAACGATGGTCTGTGCAGGAGACTGAGAAAGAGCAGGCAGAAAACTGAGGGGGAAAAACTGAGAGAAAGATATTACAAAAATTCCAAAGATCTTACAAAAAGCTGACAGAGTTCAAGGAAAGAGGAAGTGGTGAGAGGATCAACTGTTAGGGGGAAAAAGCCCAGGAATGGCCAGGACTGACTCATTAGCTGAAGGACTTGGAAGGAAGATAACCTTGTCATTTACTGGTAATCTAGCACCCACGCAGCACAGAGCGTGTGTGAAGAAGTAGGAGAGAAAGTGAGAGAGGAGAGACTGATTCCCAACTAGATATGAAAGGCAGCATCATCAGCGTTAAGTAACTTTCTCCAACATCCCACAACCGAAAAGGAGCACTTCAGAGATGCAGACTAAGGTTGGAGTCAGTTCATTCCTTAGGGTTTGCAGTCATGACTGCATTTTTAACTTATTTAAGTTGAAAAAACTCAAACACTTATTACAGAACAACAGAAACAAAAATGAAATGATCCAAGTCACCATTCCTTGTCCCCCACGCACAGAGGTACTCACTCCTCTGAAACTCTGTTATTTCCACTCATGCTTTTCTGTTTTTATGGCATACTTGAGGCCCAGTGCATGGATTCGTGCACTGGTGGTGTCCCTCAGCCTGGCCCGAGCTCTCTCGCAATCTGGGACCCCTCAGGGGATGTTAGACTGCTGGTTTCGGCCTGATCCCCGCAGGCCCAATCCAATCAGGAGGGAGCCTGATCCTGTGCATTGAGTGTCTGTCCCCTGGTGGTCAGTGTGCATCATAGCGACCAGTCGACCAGTCGTTCGGTCGTTCAGTCGCTTAGGCTTTATATATATAGATGGGTGAGTCAGTGTGCCACAAGAGGTTACATAGCACAGCTCTGAGTGTTTAACATTTTTTATGTTAAAATGGTGACATTACCTTTTTTTCTCTCAGCAATATGTTTTATAGACTTAATCTTACTGATGTTTTCAGGCCTACTGTGTTCATGGGCGGCAAAGGGAAATCAATATATTTACCTACAATTCTCAGCATAGACCCACTTTACCAGTAATTGAAACTAATTTGTAAACATGTTAATATGTTCACCCATTAATATTCATAACTTGCAGTTCTAATAGAACAAAAATGCTCTGGAGATTAAGATAAATGAGATATGATTGTGCTAAACCTATCCACCATGAAATCATTGCCTTTCATTCTAAAATGACAGTATTTTGGAAATTGTGTCTCTAATTTTTTTCACATGAGAAGCTTTAAATGCTAAGCAGTTGTGTCTCACTTTTAGATCAGGAACTTTTCTAGGAAATTATGAAAATGCATTTCACCCAAATATGTGCTTTTTTTCATTAAGTTGTATGTAGCAGAATTTCAAATTTCAACTTTGAAATATGTGTTAACATTGATGAGTAGTAGTTTCTTACTTTTGGTAGCTTCGGAAGCCATATTGTTTTAGAAATTTAAGTTTTAAGAGCATTATACATTAAAATATTTACTTTACTTTGAGCAAACCATAATTAACAATATAAAGTTTAAGTGGGCACAGTGTTTGAAATAGAACATAATTGAGTGTTATTCTGAAGGCTCTATTTTTATTCAACATAAATGTGCAAAAACTAAAGAGTTAATGTAGCCAGATCATATGAAATCATTATTTAATTCTGTCAAACTTGATTCCTTGCTTTGTATGACATTCCCAGAAACATATTTCTACAGTTATCCCTACATTCGTTTCTATACCCAGTCCACACTTTCGAGTTTATATTTTTGAAGATGTTGAAATATTATAGAGAAAACTCTATATTTTTTCCTCACTACATGCTAGGAAATTGTTTTGTTTTCGTACCTACTTAGGATGAACAGTTGTGTATCCATTTTAAATGTAAGCACAGACATTAACACATATGCCTACAGTTGGAAATCTCACCTTTCCCCAGTCTTACCTGGGCTAGTGATTCAGATTATTCTTGACACCTCTTTGTGCCATTTTAATAGCTTAGGTAGGTATTTTGTCACTTTTCCAGCTGTGACTAAAAACAAATATATTTGACATTGCCACCACAGACATGCATACACACACACACACCCCCCACACATGAGAAAAGGGGAGTTGTGTGTGTGAGGGGTTGTATATTAATATTCACACATATATATTTGTATATGTACATTACTTATATTAAAATATGTATATGTGTGTATATATATATATCATTGAAATACAATTGCAGAAAACAATATCACATGCACTCTACTAATTTCTATTTTATTACATGCCATTCTTTTACATTGAAAAATGCATTTCCCAACTCATGTGGTTAATTTTATGATCCACGACTGGGTTACAACTCCCAGCTGGGAACACAGTGGCTGAGGTCATGCCAGCTTCAAGCGCACGTTGGCAACTTCTAGCTGTGACCCCACAGCACTGTGCCAACATGGGTGTGTGCCACTTACACCACGTCAACACTGGGCAGCATGGCCACGGTCAACTTGCACTTACAGAAGAGTGACATGAGTTTGGTTCAACCAGGATTAACTGCATTACTGTTATATAGCTAAACATAACTGCTGTCTTATTTGATGGAGGAATACTCACGTTTTGAATAGAGAGGTAAATAAAAAACAACGATGATACTGTTTTGGAACATGGATAAGCACTGTCTAGCTTTTACGTGCATCAATATGGGTTTGTGATTAGCCTACAAAATAGCAACAAAAATACTTAATGAGCAGAGACTTGCTCTTGGGAATGCCTGAAATTATTATGCAGATATAACATCCTCCAGGAAATAGTGTTCAGTGAAAAATCAAGGTTTGGAATCTACGGGAGAATAGCACCTGTGTAAGAGAATGAGATAAAATGCATGCATACATGCATGTATACATACATGTATACACACCTACATACTTATTTTCTTTCATTTGCAAAAGGAAACTCCAAAGTCATAAATCAAACGCTAAGACAAAGAACTTCATGCTGTTTAGCTTTTACTAAAACAAATAAGATGGAAGGACTAACACTACAAAACCCATGGTTGCGGATACCACTGTGGTGGGGAACAGAGTGGGATTTTGCATTAATGGACCTTGACAGTATGGGCATCTGCTTCCGAAAAGCAGTCGACAAGGCACAGGTATGAGAATGCTTCCTGGAGAATCATTTGAAGAGGCCAAGGTGGAAGCCACTTCCATAGCTGTCAACAGGGGGCTGCTGAAGTAAATGCTACATCCTGATAGGACCCGTGTGCAACCTCTACGGGTAATGGAGCAGGCCCTCACAGCCTGTCCTATGAGATGGACTGTTTAGTGGAAAAGGACTTTTGGAGTAAAAGGCTTGGTCCCATTTTTGCACAAATGAGGATGCTATGTGATTGCACAGATCAGCGCATCGCCGTAAAGAGGCGGAAGCCCGGAGTGATTCAAAGCCATCCCCCTCACAGTGCTCACCTCTGGGGTGAGAGCACCACAGCCCATGGGGGTGAGGTGGTTTGAGAGGGAACATCCACATTTCATTCCCGATGTTCTGACATCATTTCGGAGCACTTTTACAT